ATGCATGTAGCCCGTTTCTCGAAGTACAGCAGTGAAATATTTTCCCATTGGATAGACTTTGAAATAATCGTTGCTTCTAAGGAACACTGATGGCATAATGTACGCAAGCATGTACTTCACTATCAGACTTGGATAAGAAAAAACCGAAACGACGGCGGTATTCAAATGTATACCAAGTACCCTGAAAAACAACAAGATTTACCTCGTATGACCATATGAACATTAATTTACTGCATATGCTGAACGAGCAGAACTAAATAAACATAAATATGAACATGTACATCAAAAATTAAAACAACACATCCATTTTATCGTATGCATATGTCCAGTGGACGTATGTTGAAAAGCGCATAACAAAGCGTGGTGGCACATATATTGCTACACTCAATAACGAATGACTTCTCTAAAACCAGATTTTACGGCATAATGTACCGCTCCCTTGCTAGGAGGCGGTGCAGTACACCATGAAATCAGGTCTTAGATGATCTATCCGTTATTTTACACACTTAGACCAACAGACAGCTTATGACGTTAATGCAGTAGCATACACGGAGTAGCAGCTCCTGAAACATCGTTCGTGATGAGCATGAGGTGGCTCTAGTGGTGGGCACAGTGATGCGAGATGCATCTGAGACTGTAGGTGCCCAAATAAGATGGAGCCGTGGCCTGCATAAATGGCGCCCATAGGCAATTAGGAGCAATGAGACGGTGGTGCAACATGCCATGAAATTTGTTCATGGAAGATTCATTTGTTATTTGACATATTCGGCCGTACGAACAGCATATAACTTTTATGCGGTAAAATATAACCCAAATGAACAAACTGATATCTTGGATGTTCCCCCAAAGAATAAATTCTCATCCCACTATACCGAAACTTACGAAGCTCCCGTGAAAAAAAAACATACAAGAAGGATCAACAGCCTGAAACATCATCAGTCACGAGCAGCGTATGTGCTTTAGTCTGCTGCTTTAGTGAAATAAGGCATCACGCATTGCAGATGCTCAAATATCTTTAAGACGTAACCTGCATAAATGCAACACATGTATCTCAGGAGCAAAAGAACAATGTTATTTACCGTGTACTATATCGGTGTGAAACCTAGTTCTGAAGCAAGTTTATACATTCACTAACACCCTACGTTGTGCTAACTCACCTTTTTAAGAATCAGGATATTACTATTATTAGAAATTAAGTTTATTCGAACGCTGTAGGTGTGGCGATATTGAAGATTCAGAACACACCCCTCCATTTGTCAGCCATTTCTTATCAAATTGAAAGGTTACAGTGGCGAAGGTTTGTTCACGAGATCAAGATTGCGGGATACGACTCTCAGAAGCATCCCCTTCGCATTGCCGCCACAAGAAAGGCCACAAATGGGAAAATCTGAAAGAAAATAAATCAGGTATAGAAAAAACCTGGTACTGCGGCATTTCAGAATCTAGCTCATGAAATTTGCCCAGTTGGCGGAGAGCACAGACTTTTGGAAAAGAAAACTCAAAAAATACCCGCAGATAACCAGAAAGTAATATCGGTCTTTGAAAATGAATGACTGTATATTTGAGTGTCTTTAAAATTATCATATTGATTCTACCGCATAAGTAGAACGTCTCTGGTTTGTGAAGTTCGCTGTATCCTCAGATGTTCAACACTTTCACTGTAAAGCACAGGTCGCTGCAACTATGAAAGGCTCTTTAAAAACAGATCTGCCTCGACCCTATTCCATACCTTATTTGCATGTTGATATCTAGGTCGAAATCTGCCGCGTCTCGGCTCCCAATCCAGACGGCCATGGGCGGAGTAAATGGCTCATGTTCCCCCAGTATGAAAAACAGACTCAACCTCCATTTCCTAATTTCCACATCTAGTGAGGTCGCCGGTGACCGGGAGAGAATAGTCATAACGTTGTTCTGCCACTTCACTCTCACTATACGTCGAAGGAAACGTTTCTGTACTCAGTTCAACGTCGTTCTTTCGTCAGAACAACTGCCCCATTCAGTAAAACAATACTGACCTAACAAAGGCACAGTACCGACGGGTTTTTATGGAAAGAAAAACATTTTTCAGCCCAGATATTGGACAGGTGTCTAAATGTACAGGAAGCTAGGGCGATCCTCTGATTTAACTGTGGCTGATGATGTAACCTTTGGAGATGATGGAGCCGCAATGTTTATATTGGTTAACCTTCCAAAACGCTTCACTTCCTGTTTCACGTGTAGATCAGCTGTGCTGGAGGGGTTCCCTAATTTTGGACTTGCGGGTGTTAAGAGGCGGTCTTTGACAGCTGTGTTGCATACGGTCGCTATTAGGTGACCGATCACTCTCCCTTTTACCAGGATTAACATTGTTTCTGAGAAGTTTATAATAATGTTGAACAGCAAAGGCGACAACTCACCTGCATATGTTACTTTTATTAAAAGACTCCGATATACAATTTATCGATAGACCTTGTGGCTGTGCCAAGAACAAAATCGATGCTTCTCCAGCATTTTCTAGTTTCTGCTTTCTGCCGTCATCAGTGACAGAGCAATCTGACTGCCGGATGGTGCTAGCGAGTTCTTGAACGACTGAGTTGACGTCTGCGATCCAGCGGTATCCAGTTGGTAACAAGGTACTGACAGATTACTAGCAGTAAAAGTAGCACCGAGAGTACATTGGGCAGAATCTTCTGCATAGCAGTGACTTTGATTACCGTAATCTCATGCAAGCAGAAAACATGTTTCTAACAGATACTTATCAGTATAGTAGTAAGAAAAAAGGAAGCCAATATAACGTGATTTAATTTTCCTGAAAGCCTGCGTAATATAAAATTATTTTAGGTAACTCCTCATTGCCACTGTCATCGTAACCGTTATACGAACAAGCATTACTGATCAACGTTAAATAAGGTGGACTTGTTTCATAATACAGCTTTCGCCTGTGTTAATAAAGGATTTATCGGTTGCTGCTTAATTTAGCAAAGGCGCAATAAATATCTTGACTATTTTTGATCACATCGCCTACCGGCAACACACTGATAAACGAACAGCATGTGCCTAGCCCATGGGAGAATGGAAGGATTATTATGAAGAGTTACACAATGAGCAATATTGCAGCCATCCAGTAATCCCGGAACCGAAGCACATCATGTCCTATTCGCGTAGGAGGTCGAGCTAAAGCTTGAAAACGTCAGGGTCTGGCGGCATTTGCCAGACTAGACGAAAACGGATGATTACATAATTATTAAAGCCTTTCATAACGTCTGTTTGGAAGCACGTGTCCACAAAACAATTTCTGTGCTCATAAAGAGCCAATAAAAGCGGGTTTTTAACTGATTCAACAATAGAATACAATTGCCTATCTCTAGCGTTCAAAAAAGCATATGATCGATGATTGAATGAATCTGAATCGAATGTGTAAAAATATACAAGTCGAAGTAACTGGCGACCAGGCAGGACTCAGAATGAACGCACTGCTGAGCGAACTTATCTCGCAGATTTGCATTTGACAGTGAATAGCACAACCGCTGGGGTCTCAAATTTGACATAAAGAAAACAGTAAAAGAGCGATTATCGTTTTTCTAATGTGTTCCCCGTAACAGGGGTCCACTGCTTGGGTCAACCTCTCTACAGTTTTCTGACTTTGCCCAAATTTTCGGTTACTTCTCGCAGCTTCATATCGTTCTTCACAACAACCCAATCACTTTCCTTTCCTTTGATCTTTTCCTTCGTTTCTTCTTTGGCAGTATCAATGGTTTGACTATGTTTCCAACATTCTCATTGGATGTTTTTTTCCACGTGGCTGAACTAATGGAGCTTACTGTCGAAAAGTTATTCTGTAATTGGGGCTACCCGCAAAGTGCCTCTTATGAAGGCATTCGGAATGCAGCGTTTTTTGCTGAT